TCCATTTCTACTAGAAACACAAAAATTAGCTGGGCCTGGTGGCACACGCCTGTAATTCCAGCTACTTGGGAGGCTGAGGCAGGAGAATCATTTGAGCCCAGGAGGTGAAGGTTGCAATGAGCCAAGATCATGCCATTGCACTTCAGTCTGGACAACAGAGTGAGACTCCATCTCAAAAAAAAAAAGAAAAGAAGAAATATTTAGATTTGGCTTCTTCCTCTTCTGTTTTTCACTTAAATATCAATACTCAACCATTTGAGTTTTGTCCTGGAATTAGACCAAAATACCTGAAGCACCAAAATGAAATACACTCTGATAAATCAGTCAAGCAGCAAACCAGACAACCTTTGGTATAAATCGTTAATTTGGCTTTATTATGTTGGTACATACTGTCTGTCTTTCAAAGCATTCAAACTTTGGTGAACTCTTTTTTAAGGTATTTGACACCTAAATCTCAGTTTGGGTCAGATTCACACTCTGAAGTTGTACAAGAAGTCAGGAAAAACTCCATATCTAAGGTATGTTGATACTGAAGATGTTCTGAGTTTTGCTGGTTTATTAATGCTATAGATTACTAACACCCGTAGTGTTCTAACTTTAAAAAAAAGCCACTGTTGTTGGCTGGCCACATTGGCTCACGCCTGTAATCCCAGCACTTTCAGAGGCTGAGGCGGGCGGATCACGAGGTCAAGAGATTGAGACCATTTTGGCCAACATGGTGAAACCCCGTCTCTACTAAAAATACAAAAATTAGCTGCGTGTGGTGGCATGTGCCTGTAGTCCCGGCTACTCGGGAGGCTGAGGCAGTGGGATCACTTGAACCCAGTGATCCCAAGGTTGCAGTGAGCCAAGATCACACCACTGCACTCCAGTCTAGCCTGGCGACAGAGTGAGACTCCGTCTCCAAAAAAAAAAAGCCACTGTAGTTAATTAAAACACTCTTAGTCATCTTAGGCTCACCTAGAGAAAAAGCACTTTTTCTTTTTCTCTAAAGGAAACTTTACAATTTTTAAAATACACTTAATACAGAAAGCAAATCTACCTTAAAAAGCAAAGTTTTTCTCTAATGGGCTAGAGAGTAAATATTTTAGCCTTTGTGGTTAGTATGGTCTGTGTCACAACGTCTTATACTGTGAAAGTGTCTATAGATAATATGTACACAAATTAGCTTGTATGTATTCCAGTAAAACTTCGTATACAAAAACAGGCAGAGGCTGGATTTGGTCCGTGAACCATAGATTACTGATCCTTGAACTATGTATGTAATCCAAACTGACAAAACTGAATAGGTTATACCTGGCACCAGCTTCACTTAGAGTATTACAAGATGGGAAGCTGGGCACAGTGGCTAATGCCTGTAATCCTAGCACTTTGGGAGGCCGAGGTGGGTGGATCATCTGA